GTAGCTTTTCACTATTTCTTCACCTATATATTCCATTGGTTTCCAGATCAATTGTAGTTGCATATTACTCACGGTTGTTTAATTTTGTGTCCAAATTGTTTTGTTTCAAGTTTTAATTGTGACATTTAAGCTTCAGTTAAATGATCTCTTCAAAGTTCAAATTATTTGTCGCTCATTGTGCCAAGCAAGCGAATTGAAGTCGTTGAAATGTTCTGAACGAATATATCCTTTTAACCGATGATTTCTTGTGTGAATCGATCTGTTTATAGGATAAAATCTCGTGCCTTTGTTTGCATGTCATCTGTTTTGAATATGGGCGGGGATCGGATAGGGGTTTTTTCGGTGGTGGGGGTTGCTTCTAATTACCTCACACAATTTATAGTTGGCTTGAGGATAGCTTTATTGACAGACAATACCTTGTTTGACGTGGGTTGTGTGAACTTCAGGAGCCGTAATGTTCTTGTTCGAAGGCAATTTCAGTAATATTCTCCACACTGGGGATTGCAGACTCACACCTGAGTGTCTGCAAAGTCTACCACCCAAGTACCTTGGGGAGAAAGGACACAAGCCCAGGTGTCAACTTGATTATGTATTTCTAGACTGCACATTTGGAAAATTCACTTAAAAAATGCCCCAGCAAGGAGTCAGCAATTCAGCAGGTACTCTTGAATGCCAAAGATCAGTCTATCAAGATTCCAGCTTAGACATTTAATTACTTATTTTCGTGTTCATCTGATTTTGTTGCATAGGTCAAAACTATACCTGGAATGGTACATATGTGTAAGCATTTTTTGTGAAAAACTCTAGTTTCCGATGATACAATACCAACTTTGGCCTAGAGAGTGGGAGACTATGCTCTCATAAATCGTAGTTAATCAATTTAGCCTATGAAAAAAAAGATTAGTTAATCAATCAAAGTCACACAAGTTTTCTACAAACTTTGTCTAGAAATTAGAAAAGGCCAGTTGTGGCCGAGGTGATTGACAAAATCGACTCGACCCTTTAGAGGACTTCTGTACAGAGTTTACACAGTTCCATGTGAACCACGTCGACCATATAGGTGCATACACACATAAGCTTTTGAGTAGCTTAATCCACTTTAAAAATATCCCATTCAAAGTAAGGCAACACTGAGGAAAATAAAAGTAAAAGACTACAGTTAGACTTACATTCATTGTGTAAAGGACTACAATTTCATGCATGAGCTTAGTTTGAATCTTGAATAAACAACAACAAAAACAGCAACAACAAAGCCTTATCCCACTAAGTGGGATCTGCAGTATGAATCCTAGAACGCTATTGCACTCGGTTTTGTGCCACGTCTTCCGTTAGTTTGAATCTTTAATGTGATAAATAAACTCAACCAAGTGCCAAGCACTATATAATTTAGAGAATTTGTAACGACTCATCTAATTAATGAATTCACATGATTTTTAGGCCTATTATCTTAGAATCTTATATTCATTGTGTCTGAGTCTCTCCATGTCCATAATCAATGTGTTAGTTTCGTTTGTCATGAATTGTGTCTTTGAGAATTTCGAGAGAATCAACTTGGGTCCTATCCATAATCCTTATAAAAGTAACTACTTTGTATTATTGAACGTTAATCAAAAGATTCAAAACTGAAGGATACTAAAGACTAAACTTCTTTTGAGCTTCAGCTGGAGTGTGTAAGTGTGAGGTCAGCCAGAATGAGTCCAGGGCAGCCTGATGCTGATTTTTTCCTAATGAACTCTTGGTTGATTGTAAGAAACAATTGATGTGTGTTTGGATTTTCTCCCTTAACACTTTTTCACACCAACCACTCTTGAAAATTTCAGCGCATCCTCATTCCTACTCCACACTTTTTCTTGTTGATCCAAGACATGTGCTCCAACTCTTCTTGTTCATGGCACATATGCTTCAGGGATCATTTGGTTTTGTCGAACTATCTACAAGGCACAAGATTTGTCAAGTAGCTTGTCTTTTTCAGTCAATTCTTTTGGTATTGAAAAGGGTTCTAAATATCAAGTTTTAACATAAAGGCCGTGGTCATGAATGAAAAGCCTAAAAAATATTTAAAGGCAAAACAAGTTTCTCTTGAACCTCTCTTAAGGCTTTCTTCTTTTCTCACAAAGCATAGAACATCCTGCATGCTCACACACACACGCTCACAAAAGTTTTCTCAAAACTCCAAAGGCTTTAAGATAGGAATGAAAGCTGTTGAAATTGTAGGACACTGAAAAACCAAAAACTTAATATATATAAAATATTAATTAGAAAAGTAAAAATAATGTTAACTCATTAGACCAATCCAAATTTTGTTTGAGGGACAAGAAAAAGGAAACATTTCAGTAAAATTGGGTTCAAATGGAAATTTACGGCTGAAGCAAACCTTTCATAGTACTATCTTAAGCTATGTTGTCACAGCCCGTCCCAAATTACTACTGTCGAAGATGTAAAATGACGGTCTTATCTTTGGACGTTGAAATTGTAGTGTGTGTGTGACATGCTTTGGGGACTTAGATGTTAATTTTTGTGGTTTTGGATTGGTGACCCATGTGGACCACACACACACACACTATCCCTCTCTCTCTTCTCTCTCGTACTCTCTCACCCTCAGACTCACTCTCTCTCCTTCCCTCACATAAGGACGAACAACAAAACTCACACTCCAAGCACGGATCGACGTCAAGAAGGTAAGATTTGAACTCCCTGCTTGTCCCTGAGTTCATATATGCTATTTTTAGAACCTGAAAACCCCAAAAATCCCAAGAACTCTAACCTCCGATTTGAGGTACTATTCATGCAAATGTAAAATCTTATGAAACTTGAACCATTTTGGTTCTTCACTGCATTTGTGTCTTAAACTCCAAAACATTTCTTTCTTGCATGGTGAAGCAGTAGACTGCAACATGCTAGAATGTTAAATCTGTTTGGATATGGAATGTGCCAACACAAAAAACATGGAATCTATACTTTGGCCTACCAAAAACTCTCTGTGGCTGATTACCTCTGACTGTCTTTAGGACATTAAATTTTTCAAGCCATGCTCTATTGAAGTAACCTACCATATTTCCTATTTTTAAAGTGTCTTTAGATTGTGAAACATAGCCATCTCATCTCTTTTAACATTCATCTGATGATTACTAAGAGTTAAGAAAGCATTAGAAACTGCATATTACATCTTAGACTACAATTCTCATCTTTCTTTAGGCATGCATATGACTGCAAATTTGGTTGATTTCACTTTTATACGTAACCATTTATCCTACTTAATGAAGAATGATTCTGAGAATATTGATATTGACTCATTTTGTGATTTAATCGTATCTGATTGTTAAATTCTTATGCTGCTGTTTTCTTCTTTCTCTGTGTTTTCCTGTTATTTAATATTTTCTTAAATCTTTTAATAATTTTTATTTGCATGGGGTTGTGAGATATTGTTCATCTGTTTAATGAATATTTGCTGAATTTGAGAATTCTTCATATGGTGGCATATTAGTAGTGAGTATATGAAAACGAAAACATTTTTCTCCTATATTTGTTCCTGACGTAAATTAGTTTTTGCATTCCCTTTTTCTAGCAAACCTAAACCCAACCCCCCCCCCCCCCCCTCCTCCTCCTCCTCCTCCTCCTCCTCCTCCTACATTTTATTTTAATTACTTTATTTTTTGGGATTTCATGATAAAGTTACGAGTTTGTGATCTTAGCACGTAAAACCATTTCAGTTCTCTCTCTCTCTCTCATGTCGTTTTTTCCTCTTGTTCTTTTGACATAGGTAATTAATTGTATATGGAAGCATCCTAATGCAGTCGAGGTGTATTTAGCTTGTGATCTGCTCGGTCAGGAAGAGATACTGACTAGTGTGTTCCGCATGTTTGGATCGAAGATATATGTTGATAAAGTGATCAATCCCGAGTGTTTTGATGCTCTGGCAGTCATAGCTCCTGAAATTGTCTCTCAAGATCCATCTTCACGCTTCCAGCTGCTTGATGGATTTCCAAAACTCTATGAGAGGGCAAAGGCAAAGGTTGCAGAGGCTCAAGTTAACTTAAAGCCTGAACCTCTCATTATCTGTCCTTCTGCACAGTGGTATGCTTGCGAAGGAGAATTCCTAGGTAATGAAAGTCAAAGGAAGTTGAAATTTAACGAAGCAGTAAGGGACCAATTTGGTGTTTGGCATGTCTGTTATTCAATGCACTAATCAAGGGAAGAATTAGAGTGCTCTCTGCAGCTTCTACTGTCTAAATGGGTTGTTTCAACGACCCCCAATTGCAGGGGTATGGAGCTGCATTATGTTAAGAAGCACTGTTGTAGCTCTAAAATATCTTGGGATGATCCTGTTTGGAAACTTCTAGACATTAGTGTGGAACCTTCTTCAAGTACAGATTATCAATCAATTAAAGTTGTGGACTCTCAAGTGTCTGAAGAGCCTACTCAACGTCGTCCATATTCTCAAGCGCTACTGGTAAAGATATCCGCTTCCCAGAAAGAGTTGTTTGATTTCTCTCCTCCAAGAAAAAGATTGTCTGTCACGTTATTTGGTAAAGCTAGGTTCGGTTTTGAAGAATCGGGTATTCAGCAGGAAGAGAAGAAAACTATGTACATAAAAGATGAACGAAGACAAGATGTTGACAGTAGAGTAGGAGAAAAGTTGTCGGGCCAGAGGGAAGAAACCAGGGTAGAGAGTGGTATTAGTGAAGTACAATGCGAAAAGCAGGGTGAGGAGGAGTTAGAAGCTCAGAAACCAATGTCATTGTCATTGGGTCATCACAGTACTTCAATGAAAGATTAAGAAGGTTATACAGGCCAGTGAAGGTGCCTGTGCCGCAGCCACTTCCTTCATTGGTTGACTTATGAATGCCCACAAGCGTGCTAAGAGGATATTTGAATACTCATCTTTCAATTAAGACATGTTCAGATTCATTCTCTGGCACTCGGCTTTGATGACCCGTTTGACAGCATAGAACGATCTATCTTTCCGGTCTGCTCTGTGGAAATAATTATTCTGGCGATCCTTGGGTACAATGCCGAGAAACATACTGTTGTTTGTGTGCATTTGATCGGTCGACTACAGCGATCTTTACAAAAAAAATACAGTAAGAGTTGTAGCAGAAGGTGATAAAGAAAATACAATAACGCTGCAGGTGAAGATCGATTAATGCATTTGGATCCTGTATCACAGCCTCTCATAATCGAGTTTGTCTGACTGCAAACATAACACAAAAGTCAATTACAAGATCAAGCTCAAAAGCGCCAAGCAGTGAGACGATATTTTAAACTAGTCTAATTTCCAACTTAGCAAGAAAGAAGCACGCAGGTACCCTGATAAGCATGTCTGTTGGAAGCCATGCTGGCGCAGTTGGGACCCCAACCCATGCTACCTATAACACAATTATTAATGTGATTTAGTCCTTTTTATTTTTACTTTTTTATATAATGAATTTGTTTAGTTAAGCAAAAATAATGAAAAAAAAAAAGTTTCCTTACAAGTGCATACTCTCCTGTCTCAAAAATACGCAAATCCAATATCTGAAAAATTAAGATTTCATTCAGTCGCTCAATAGACATGGAAATGCATGTACAGGAATCATTTTCACGAGTAATGTTAATTATGTTACTGTTCATTTTCTTAATCATCTTCCATTGATCATTTGACGGTTTTAGTAACTACCAGTGTTTAAAATTTATTTGATATGGTCAATATTTATGTGAAAATACCCAAAAAATCAGAGAAAGAGATGAAAATGGTTGGTGAAGTCTAGACTTCACCTTATATTGGAGAAACTCTTAAATTTAGGCTAAAATTGACAGATATCGTCGATATTTCTAACGCATATGTTAAATATAGGAGAAACTTTTATATTTCGTTCAAACCAATATTTGACAATTCCTAAAGTTTCATTTTAAATTTATATCATTTTCAACTAAAGTAACCGATTTCAATATCAATATTTGATATATCCATCGATATTTCCACTACTTTACATATTAATATTTTAACTAATACCGACATTTTAAACACTGGTAACTACTTTGATAAATTTTTACATTTATTCAACATACATATGAATGACTGGAAAACGATTCCGAATATAATATGTATATGATGAAAAATCATTTTTCAGATTTTATTGGACAAGAAAGTACATCCTTTAGGCAAGTATTGTGTTGGAATTAAAAGTTTGAAGAGGGTTATACCTCACCGCGGTCTTCATAAATATAGTCCAATCCTTTGTAATACGGTGGATGTCCAACCGAAAGATACTGAAATAAGTTGTGCAAACATCCATCTTATTAGTATATAAATCCAAAGAAAAAACTAAAGTAATATTCGGTTGATATCAATCGATAATTATTAATCATTGTGTAGTAGGAAAATAGAACATCACATGCATTTATTATACACCTTAGATTATGCACAATTATATATAAATCTTAACACTAGATTTTGGCAGCTTAATTTCTGGCTTCCACGATAGAAAAACTACATTTACATCTTATTATACATTTTTTAAATGTACAGTGATTTCTACTCTAATGAGAAAAATGTAAATTTGAAATCCTATTTACCTTTTCTCTTTTCACCTAGTGGACTCCATCCCCTAACGATGCAAAAAACATGTAATAATATTTATATTTACATTTTGTGCAATGATGGGTATTTTTACATCTTATCTATTATAAACTCTCCGACCACTAAAAAATATAAAATATCTATTCTTAAGCATTTTGAATCTCTTATTTATTTATTTCGGGGAAATTTGAATCTCTTAGTAATTAAATTTGTACTCACATTAACACTATTAAGATATTTGTCTTTCTCCACCCTCACAATCTGACCCTTCTTCACTGCCCAAAGAAAAGAAAAGTAATTTAATAAATAAACGAACAGACAAACAACTGTTGTATAGTTAGCTGCATAAAATTCAATTAGTTTAGAGAAATTAAATTTGAAGGACACAGTGCGCACTGGAGTAGACAGGCTTCTTCTTGGGAGGCGGCTTGGCGGTTGAAGGTTGAGCATTGGAAGACGAAGACGGCTTCTCGGTATTATTATTATTGGCTTCTGTTTCTGTAGCTTTTACAGCTTTAATGGACAAAAGACGAGTAGGGTTTCTTCCCAGGGTTCGTGGGAAAGGAGACAAGCATGAGAAAGGGTTCTTAGAGAGGGTACAAGTACAACTACTCGCAGAGAAAGCCATGACAATTGAATCTTGATGGAGAAACACACAGATAATTAAATCCTCAACAGAGAAAACAAGACGATAAGGAGTCCTTCTGTGGTACATATCACTACATCACGTTTTTAAGGGTATACAAGTCTTTTCGTTCCTTTTTACGAATTTTATGTGAAACAAGAAAGAAAAAAACTTAAGAGGAACAAAATAAGTCAAGTGGTGTTATGTTAAAACATAGTTCCAAGTTAGTTAATCAAACTTTTTCTTTGGTTAAATAATTAAAATTTTACATTTAACAAACTTTAAGAGGACATCTTGAATCTTGAATTAAATTCGAGGTGCTCTCAAACCAAAACAATTCCAAAGCAATAAATAATGTCAACATGGACAATCGAAAAGCCATTATTTTGACGGAGTGATAAAAATGACAGGAAACACTACAAAGCCAAAAGAACTTCAATCATAGCAACTAGAAGTTCAATCACTTCATAACTGACTACGAATAGAAATTCAAGAACTTTCAATCGTGTGACATGACAAATTCTGCACACATAATCATCAATAAACGTATAAGAGAAGTACGATGATGAGAAATTCGAAAACCACGATGAACAGAACTTGCTACATTCAAAGATCTGGATCAAATGATGGAGGACGCGACATAGCCCCACCATGACAATCCATGAGGCTCAACACGACGACAAGAGGACCGGCATTACCCACAGAGCACCACTGTCGCAGCCACCACGGTAGCAACCACTGTAGCAGCATATGGTGAACCCATTGCCCACTGTGTACAAGCCATCTTGCAATAGCAGACTCAGGGCCGTGCTACAAGGTAGCCAGCCCAGTGCGAGCCAGCCCACACCCAGCAGGCCCACGATCCTGCAATGGTAGTTGAGGCCCATGTAGTCGCAACAAGTGGAGCAGCCCAGCACTCGCGTGCCCAAGGCCAGCGCGAGCCCATCGCACTCCAAAACTAAGCCCAAGATCTGTAGGCCCAAGGCGCAACACAGGCCCGAGGCGCACCAAGGGGAGCGCAGCGCTCACACGCTCCAGTGGCCCAATCCTACGGTCCAACCCGCTCCCGTGGTACAACTATTTTCCAGCTTAAACTCGCTCTCGGAGTCCATTACACTTCCACTACTCAAGGAGACGCATACTGTCCAAACTCTTCCAACCTAAATGGTGAACAACACTTGTCCCGACATGTCATAGAGTTGACAAGCACCCTTACATGGTAAACGACCTTGGTGAATCAACTTTTGCAGCCCACTGAGATACAGCTTGCCCCATACAAGGTGTCCCGAAGCAAGATAAGGGCAGAGGACGATCTTCTCCAGCAGTGTCCTGGCAAGCAGCCCCTCGACCAGCCATGAACCGAACGTTCTTGTAGTGTGCATTCTTGATTGGGCCCCCAAGATAGTGTACACTTTCGCCTTAGCGCGCGAATGAGCGTGCTCTTTCAGTTATGCCTATGGACGAGTATACATTCACGGTTAGGGCCACATTCTGATAATCAACATGAACAACCTTCCAAGCGAAGTGTTCATCCTCCACCTTACATTAGAGTAGGCAGCACGACGGACATAGAAAATTAGCCACTTAATCTAGCTCAAGTTCAACCGGCATCCTACAAGTAATTTGCTCACCTGCTAGGAATGTACCACATGCACTGCAGCTGCGGTATAGACGAGCCGAGCACATGGAAGAGCAGTCTAGACCAGTAGGTCACAACCGGGGGCAGTAGAGAGCTCTGCTACCCCAACAAAGGTAAATCTAGGAATAAGTAGAGAGGCTCATGACCGAACGATTGCATGAATTTCAGAGCAACAAAGTCACTAACGAGGTGCTCTGATGAGATATGACCAACATAAGCAGGTCACCTTTCACGGACGAGATCGAGCAGGCCTCCACGTAAATTCAACATGCCACATTTCACAACCTTCAAAGGAGATGAAGACTTGGAAAGTGACCTAAAGCACTACCAAAATGCAATGATCCTCTATCAGAACAACGATGCTCACATGTGCAAGATATTCGCCACCACTCTACAAGGTGATGCATAAGATTGGTTTCACACCCTGTCACCATATCTGGAGTTTCAACGAGCTTTCTTTGGTTTTCACCAAAGAGTATTCATCCTATTGCTCAATCAAGAAGAAGTCCGACCACTTGTTCAACATCAAGAAGAACCCAAAGGAGTCGCTCCGCGACTATGTGAAAAGCTTCAAAGTAGAGAAGACAAAGATAGTCGATTGCAACGACTCGATAGCTACTGCAGCCTTCCAAAAAGGACACCCAGTAGACCACCCACTATTCAGAGAATTGATTATGAAAGAAAATCTAACTCTAGCAGACTCATTCACTCTGGCAGAGAAGCATGCACTTTGGGACGAGGCCCGGTGAGCAGACAAGGCACCCGAGTAGCCTCGAACAGAGTTGGCAGTAGCTCAAAAAAAGGAGGATGGGAAGTAGTATAACGACAAAAACAAGCAGCAGGCCAAGTACAGGGACCGATCGCTAACTAAAGGAGGCTCAACGCCCAAGAACTATTCTAAGTTCTCGATCTCGATCCACCAAATCCTTCTGTTAAGCAAAAATTGTACACTATATGTAAACAAATAATTCACTCGACACTATTTCACCCTCGTTCATTTTTCTGAAGAGGATTTTATTAATTTGAGTTAGACCCATTGTAAACTATGCATCTATTAATTACAATCCTTTGTTAAAAAGGAAAAAACCCTTTGATTCCAGTATGAATAAATCGTAATGATGTGAAATATATAAGCACACTCAAATTAAACCCTCTTTTGACAATTGTAGTATTTATGTAAGTAGGGATCGTTCTTAAACCGGGGATTAGGAGGGATTGCTAAACACTCTAAACTGACTCAAATAGATAAAACTAAGCTTTAAAATACTTAACTAGACTCAAAAGACTCAAAACAAGTTCACAACACTCAAAATAAGCTAAAAACACTCAAAACTGCCTAAAAACACAATCTGGGCAGTTTTGAACTCTCAACACAATTTTGGACGAATTTTAGGGTTTCCTTGACTCAAAACACTTAAAAACACAATCTAAAACATATTCTAACTAGTTAGACACTCTAAAGTAAAGGGGGATTTGGTTTTGGACGAAAATTAAATAAAACAAAGCAAGAACTAAAACTAGGTAGATTGCACAGATTTGGTGAAATATATGGATGATGGGCTAACTAGGAGGTTTTTCTCCACACATGACATACTTGCATACAAAACAATTTCCAGTTGCTTTTTCAATGAACCATGAACCTCAACACCCCAAGTTAATTAGGCACGCTTAAATTAACCCTCAGATTTCCTTAAGTCATTGAATTGAATGGAAATAGCGCATTGCAATCAAATTATTCCTTAAAAGTTCCCTTCATGAAAGCGCATAATAGAGAAACAATTAAAGATCATTAAGTTCTATGGAAATCATAAGTGTTGACAAGGCATTCGTAACTATGAAACCGCATATACTTATGCCATGAATTTACTTAACTTGATTGTGACTAACAACCTTTACTACTTTTGAATATAAGTTCATAACGATTAGGTGAAACTCCCTTATATCCTAGCATCATATTTATGCATACAAATTAAGTGTGCACTCTCAACTCACATACATAAACACGTTTTAATTCAAACAGATAAGTAAACTGAATTCACAATTCATGGAATCACAACTGGATGTAATCAAATCATATTGTAAGCATAGCCATGGTTTCGAAATTCCCCCTAGCTAATAGGGGTTTAGTTCCTCATACTCACAAAACAAAGATTATTGAATTTAAACATTGAAAACAAAAGAAAGATTACACCTAAAACGTTCCAGCAACTCGAACTCGAATGGCAAGCACGTCCAATGGCTCTCCTCCTTCTTCCTTGCTGCAGCACAAGAGATGGGTTTGGCCCAATTAATTTCAGAAAAGGATTTGTATAACCCAAATCCACAAGGACTAAGGCCTAATACATCAAAATCGACAAGGGAAAAAGTTTAGGGATGGCACGGCAAGGGACTATAGGGAAGGATTAGGAACTCCCAAGTCAAGAATAGAAACTTTCAAGAATGGAAACCTCCAAGAATAGAAACTTCCAACTTTAGAAACTTTGGTTTCCAATTCTGAACTCTTTGTTCTTCATTTTCACTTCTTCATTTCATTCCTAGCCTCCTTTGATCTTCAATTTCGTCCATCCATTTGGCTCCAAGCATGTGTCATCCATTCCAAGCCCAATTTTGCTCTAAAAAGGCTCCAAATGCACTTCTTTGCCACATTAGCCATATAAACCTGAACTTGCACGAAAATGACTTTAAACACTAAAATAACTAAAGAAAAACAACATAAATGCACAAGAACAAGCTAACTAAGTCACATGAATATGCTTCTATCAAATTCTCCCACACTGAGCTTTTGCTAGTCCTCGAGCAAAACAAAACAAACAAAACAAAACCTAGACCTTCCAACATTTGCCTCAGGGATTTTCAATGAAACATAACATGCCAAAGATCACCACTCACATAGATTTAAGCAATCCTTACCATCAAACATACTTAATCGTAGTCACCATTCACTAGCTCACATTTAATCAATTAAAACATGGTTTTGAATGTAGTAACATGCCTTAGATAATTCCCTCAATTCCTTACTAGATATTCACTCAATTTTCACTCAGACTTTCTGACTACACACCCTACACTAGGTATATGTGAGAAGATTGATTTAAACACGAAAACTAGTACTCACATGTTTTTCAACAAAGAAAGCAATTTCTGGAATTATTAATGCATGTATATATATGATCTCATGAATGGAATGCTACTATCCAAAACCAAATTCCCCTTTACTTTAGAGTGTCTAATTAGTTAGAATCTGTTTAGTTTGTGTTTTTAAGTGTTTTGAATCAACATAAAACCAAAATTCGTCCAGAAAGTGTGTTAGAGTCAGAAATTGCCTAATTATTGTTTTTAGGCAGTTTTGAGTGTTTTTAGCTTGTTTTGAGTCTTTTGAGTTTGTTTTGAATTCTCTGAGTCTAGTTAAGTGTTTTTAGCCTCTCTTTATATAT